AAGAAAAGGATAGAAAATAAGACAGAAAATATCATAATGCTACTATATAAATCCCTCGTGCGCTCACAGCTTGAATACTGTGTCCAGTTCTATTTGCTCCATCTAAAAAAGGATGTAATAGAACTGGAACAGGTTCAGAGAAGGGGAACAAAGATGATAAAGGGTATGGAACGGCTTCCATATGAGGCGAGATTAAAAAGACTGGGACTGTTCATTTTAGAAAAGAGATGCCTAAGTGGTCTATAAAATCATGACTGGTGTGGAAAAAAAGGGAATAGAGAAGTATTACTTACCCTTTCACACAATACCAAAAACAAGGGTCACCCAATGAAATTAATAGGCTGCAGGTTTAATGCAAACAAGAAGTACTTTCTCACACAGCGCACAACTCACCTTTGGAACTCATTGCCCCAGGATGTTATGGTGGCCAAAATTGCAACTGGGTTCAAAAGAGAATTGGATAAATTCATAGAGGCTAGGTCCATTAATCGCTATTTGCCAAGATGGTCAGGGATACTGCCCTGTTCTATATATTCCCCCTGAAGCTCTGGTACAGCTCACTGTCAGAGACAGGATACTGGGCAAGATGGACCCTGGTGTGACGCAGCATGGAAGCTTTTATGTGGTGCATAGTGCCTCATGCTGACCTTCTGCACAGGAGTGAATTTCACCCTACAGGGAAAAATGTTCACTATACTACGAGAAATCTCCTGATGCCTTTCTAATGTACATGCACTTCCAGATTCTCCCTTGTTAAGTCTTAGTTTTGGTTTCACAGCTGTGTTTTTCTTTAAGACCCAGAGAGTCTGTAAGAACTGGATTATTATTAAACACCCCAAATAAGATTTTTTTCATGTTTTGAAAAGCAGAAGAAAATCCATTGAAACCTGTGAGAACCTAAACAAGGAACAGACAGCTGTTGTGCATTCCTTATTGAATTCCCCCCACCAGCTTAATGGCCCATCTGTAGTTTCTTCACACCTTAGTGCAGGGGTAGGCAACCTATGGCACGCGTGCCGAAGGTGGCACGTGAGCTGATTTTCAGTGGCACTCACACTACCCGGGTCCTGGCCACCGGTCCGGGGGGCTCTGCATTTTAATTTAATTTTAAATGAAGCTTCTTAAACATTTAAAAAACCTTATTTACTTTACATACAACAATAGTTTAGTTATATATTATAGACTTATAGAAAGAGACCTTCTAAAAACGTTAAAATGTATTACTGGCACGCGAAACCTTAAATCACAGTGAATAAATGAAGACTCGGCACACCACTTCTGAAAGGTTGCCGAACCCTGCCTTAGTGAGACTGGAGAGAAGGGAGCATGCTAGAAATTCAGCAGCCAAAGTCTGAATACGGTTGCAAGCTGGGGAAAATGGGAATGAAAGCAGGAATTTTGGAGGAATGATTTCCAGAGAACAGTCTGTCCATTTCACTGCCAGTCCACTCCCCCCCTACTCTGCAGGTCTTGTGCTGCAAGGAAGGTTTCTGAGGGGTCCCAAGTGAGGTATTTCAGTTTTGCAGGGTCTCTCTGTGTAGGGGTAGGGCATGGGCAGGATGGGCACTAAGGAGCTGCTTCTCTGCAGATCCTCCACAAAGGGTGGCAAAAGTGCCCATGAAAGCTATTGCAGGAGTTGGGCTAGAGTAGCCTCCACAGAGCAGCTCTGTAACCACTCTGCAGCCTGCCTAGTGGGGGAGAGGATTCCTCCCCTGCACCTCTGCCCAGTGCCCGGTTCAAGTTAGCTGCTGGGCTCTGGATTAGAGCCTTTCATGCACCATCTTCTTAAGCGCAAGTTTAAGTACAAATCTGGGCTAGGGTAGAAATGCCCTTTTCCCACCTTTCAAAAAGGTGCTCACACATGCCACAAAAGCAGTGTCAAAGTGCAGCATACTTTGGTTACATGCTGCTCAACGTGCAGTCCCTCCTGAGAAATCTATTGGTAATGAGATTAGGAATGATCCATGCAGTGCAGCCACCCCCACACGTATGCAGAGCTGTTACCAGCAAATCAGACAGTGGACATACACAGACATGTGGACTAGGCTCTCTGATCCCTCCTCCCCACGAACCGCCAGCCAGAATATGTCTCTTAGGTTTGATTGTTATATACTTAGTTTCACAGGCTCCTGTAAGATGCATTTTGCTTTCTGAATAAAAAGCCTTTTCTCTTCTGCAACATTTCCTTACTCATCCTTGCCAGGACTGTGTTAAACAATGTAGCTTTTCACAAGAATAGATTTTCTCCAAATACACTTGTTAGCTTGTCAGCCAACACAACATTATCACAGCAATCCCACACGCAGCTGCTGGAATGTTAATATGCTTTAGGAAATCTAGATCTCTTATCCTTTGATTTTGAATTAATAAAGACCATCCTCCCACACCAAAAACCAAACCAGTCTTGGGTTGCTATAGCCTAGGCTGTCAAACCTCATCCCCAAATATAAACACAGAGGTGATATTTCTATAGTTGGGATCTCTTCAATTCCTAGAATAAAGAGCAAGAGCTACTGAATTTTGGGCATGCTCTCCAAGCCATCTGGATAACTGGGCTTCATTAGCACCCTGGATAAAGTTGCTGAGAGAACTGACAGCACTGAATAATGGTTGACTTAATGCAGTCAGGCTTTCTCACGCAGCTCTGTAAACATAGACCATCTCTGTCTGAATCTGTAGCATTTCCATTACTGGGCTATTCCTGAGCACAAACCATCAAGATGTGCCACATTCTGTAATGGTTTTATTACATGAGCCAAGGTTACACTGGAAGCTTGACTAGACTCTGAAGTTATTTCACTTATGACTGAAAATTCAGGTTGGAACCTTAGTCTCCAGAAATGAAGCGACAGATCAGTGCACTACATGTAATCACTGTGCCATCTAATCATCTGATCAGATATGAATAGGCTTCACATTTGTCACTTTGCTATTCAGCCAGTCAGGGGGTAAACAACAGAGAAAATGAAAATGATAGGTATACTCATGAAGTAAGATACTACTCGTTGTGAGATATGAGTATGTCCCTTGATGTTTTAGGTCAATTACAAGCAGTGTCCTTAGTTGCTGATAATTTGCCTCCTGGTGCGATGTGACATAGCAACAGATGGTGCAATGTTGCTGTGTAGACAAGTAGAGGACAGAGCAGTGAAGAAAGAAATGCGAGGTACAGGAAGGTAAGGAGAGGGTGCAGGCTGAAAGGGATGGCCACTCTTGATTCAGCAAACAGAGAGATCAGATAAATTATTGGAAAGTTCAGAGGAAGATTATGTGTCAGAAGAAGTCTATTAAGTATGGAGGCACAGTAACTATGAAACTGTGGCAAGCGATCTGGGCACTCTGGCAGTGAAGATGTATCAGAAGATTGGGAATTGCCTACATGAAGCATAACAAATAATACTTTTATTAATAACAAGTCTACAGCCATAGTTATTTGCAGCAGCAAAGCTTTTCCTAGAAAAACCCTACTTACAGCAAAATTCATTGCTTTTAGATGCTGTTTCTTTCTCCCGAAGCTGCTGTTAAGGGCCAATCATTTGACTATAGCCAGCTACCTTGTGCTTTGTTTTGTCTCAGTGTTAACAATTGGAAATTGGCAAAGGCAATCAGCAAAGATGGAAGTAAGTGTAGTATTTAGCTGTATACTGGAGCAGTGACCAAGAGTGAGCTCACATACAGTTTAGGGGTAACCATTCCCATAGCACCAAAACCATGAAGATGCATGCTGGGTCTTTTCTGATAAATTCTGAGGTAAAATTATTTGTGAATATTTGTGTTTCTGGTGATTTTCGAGAGAGTGAAAGTACTTTTATTCAGAATGAAAATCATGGCAAACAGTTTGGGATAAAAATGTTTGAAATGTGCCTGGCTGAGATCCAGGGTCTGGCTCTGCTCGCACATACACCAGCCTAAATCCAAAATAACTCTAGGAAAATTAACAGAGTGATGCTGCAGGAGATGAGAACAGAATTAGGTGTAGACTCGCCAGTTTTTCCAAAAAAACAGGTTCCAGCAGGAGCAGCAGCTGTATGAACTTCCCCACACGGCTCCTTCGCCCCTGGCCCAGAGGTCCACTGCTGCCGGTGAAGAGATAATTCATTGTCTCTGGCTCTTTTAAATACTTGGCCTCTGCTGAAACTGCCCCAAGGTGACAATTAGGTGCTTTTTATTTTTAATGTAGGAACTGAACCGAGAGCATCAGCTCACTTCACACAAGCCACCAAAGCAGCCCTCCGATGGTAACTACTCTGAGTCACTGCTGGTCAGGGCTGTGCTGGAACTAGTATCCTAGAGGTTAAAATCTTCAACTCATACGTTATTACAATCATGTGAGCCAACCAGTCCTTCCATACGGGAAACAGTTTGGGTAGCATTGTGAATACAACAAAAGGCCAAGTTTTGAAGCAGCACCTCAGGAGGTTAGTGTAGGGCAGGGGTTCTCAAACTTCAGTGCACCGCGACCTTCTGCCAACAAAAATTACTACAAGACCCCAGGAGTGGGGGGTAGGGTAGGACTGAAGCCTGAGCTTCAGCTCCAACACCCTGGAAGGGGAGGCGGGAAGCCAAAGTCAAAGCCCAAGGGCTTCAGCCCCAAGCAGGGGGCCTGTAACCTGAGCCCTGCTGCTCAGGGCTGAAGCCCTTGGGCTTGGGCTTTAGCCCTGGGTCCTAGCAAGTCTAAAAGTCAGCCCTGGTGACCCCATTAAAATGGGGTCCTGACCCATAGTTTGAGAACCACTGGTGTAGGGAATATGTGAATTCACTCTACATCTACTGCGAAAGGAAAGGAAGAGCTCCCCAGTCAGGCATTGGGACCACAGGTCTACGGCTATTTCCAAAGCTGTTTCTGAATCCAGACAAGGTAAAAACATACTGATCTTTCCAGTAAAATTTCCCTTGCCTTGGCTCCCTTGAAAAGACCCCTCTTCTGTGAAGCACTACAGTACCCCTGTCAGTTCAAGAGAATTGAGCAGGGTGCAAGCTCATGAACCCAAACAGGATACCTTGCATCAGGATCTCCATGGCCGTGCGCTGCTTTATTAGCTGCCTGTCTTCCTCTTCACTATCAGATCCCTCGTCCTCTTGGATCTCTATGTCTGAATCATCATTACCTGTTTAAAACAAAAACACCAACAGCACCGAATTAATGTAATCAGACACAACGCCACAGCAGTTCAACACAGTGGCTGGGTGCAAGGGCATGCTAATGCTCTCTGCTTCTGTTCAGTGATTCCTGGCTCAATGTCTACACTGCAATTAAAAACCTGCGGCTGGCCCGTGCCAGCTGACTCAGGCTTGCAGGGTTTGGGCTAAGGGGCAGTTTAACTGTGGTGTAGACATTCAGGATCAGGCTGGAGTCTGGGCTCTAGGACCCTTTGTGGTAGGAGGTTCCCAGAGCTCGGGCTGCAGCCTGAGCCCAAACATCTGCTCCACAATTAAACAGCCCTTTAGCCCGAGTCCCAGGAGCTGAGTCAGCTGGCATTGCCAGGTGTGGGTGTCTGTCTGCAGTGCAGACATACCAAAGGAAACCTACTCTGGCCAGGACTCTATGATGGCGCAATCATGAGTTTCTGGCAATCACCCAAAACAAAAGCAGGACACTGTATGGGTCAGGGTGTAGGGTGTATGGAGGGCTTCTGATTTTTTGCTTTAACTGATGAACATTCATAAAATACAAAAAAGAAATACAAAAAAGAAAAGAAACAGGTATTTATCCAATAAACAAACACCAGAAAGAGTTACTTGCATCTAAGTAGGGTTACCATGTTTCAGGTTCCCCCAAAAGATGATACTGCTGGCAGGGGCAGGGGGGAGCCGGAGGGGAGTACAGTTGAGGGGTGCTGGAGGGGTTTGTGTGTACTGGGAGATATTTGGGGGGTGTTGGAGGGGGAATTTGGCAGATGCTGGAGGTGTGTGTGTATACTGGGGTGTATTTGGGGGGTGCTGAATGGGGCATGACTATACTGGGAGGAGTACCTGGGGGGTGCTAGAGGAGGTACCTAGGGACTCACTCTTGAGGTGGGGGGGGGTAGTGTTGCTCCCTGTCATGATGGCAGGGCAGCTGGTGCAGACCTGGGATGCAGCAACAGCTGTCCGTCAGCATCTCCCTGTGGGGCTCTCCCCCTCCCCGGGGCTGGGAGCCAGGGCTTGGGTGGGCAGGATCCTGCAGCTGTGAGGGACCAATCAGATGTGGATGCAGGGAAGGGACCAATTGGGACTCTTTCTGAGCTGCAACGTCTGCTCCACAAAAACCCTGACGTTGCCTCTTATTTGAAAAATCCACCCAGACACAGGGCGGAGGATCAAAAAAGAGGCAACGTCCAGGAAAACCTAGACATATGGTAACTCTAATCTAAGGGTCTGTCTACATGGAGTAGTAATGCGGATTATGGGGATGTGATCTCTAAAGCACGCTACTGTGTGCACATTAATTGGTCCCTGCTGGTGCGCACTAAAGGTTTCCTTGCATTCATTAACATAGTACTACACTAAAAAAAACACACAGTACTATGTTAAAGCGAACTAGGAACCACTACAAAAAGTTTATTCATTACAGTATATACCAAAGCAATGAGTAATTACTCATTATGCTATACACAAAGAGAAAGCCCCCAATTCCCCCACCCCCCATTTTGGACATCTACATAAAACTCAAAAATTTCTAAAAATAACCCCCCCAAATGAAATGAATAATCCTCAAACATCAGAAGTTCTAGGTATATGGAACCAGAGCTCTCCCTGCTGCATTGCGGGGGAACAGCCAACCTCCTAGCTCCCCAAGAAGAAGGCACTATTACCAAGAACGGTTATCAAAGACATTGAGATGAACAGGAAGTACCATATAAAAGCCTTGAGACAAGATAATATTACTAAGGCAATATTCTAAATATACTCTCTGGGTATGAATCTTATCAGTGTACAGTCAGAGGGTACTATTTTAGCAGCTGATTATAGAATAAAAATCTTATAAAAGGTTTTGCAAAGCATGAACTTAAGTTTCCTACTACCTCCGTCTGACATGAGCGATAACAAAGACATTTAATAATGGATCAGAACAACACACTGTAATATCCTCAGGTTATTGAAAATAGTGCTGGGTGAACCCCAATATGTTTGGAGGAATAGGGCAGTTCCCCACAGTTCAGATACTTCTCTAAATACTTAGAGATTTCCATTTTCCACCACTCTATTTTTCCCAGCCCAATCAGTTCTTCCCTCAGTCCCCGATTCCCTCTCCCCAATCTGCCATGTGAACCCGAACAGGCTCTCTTGCATCCCAAATAGATCATCAGTATCCAACTCCTTCTGTCCAATCCCTGATAAGATCCCTGACCCCAGCCCCCAATAGGCTTGCTACCTTTCATGATATTCCACAAGGAAGTGAGTCACAGGTTGGTCAGCTGTTCTGATCACATCTTTCATGCTCCAGGGATTCCCTTAGGTCAGCTAGAGCTAAGCGGAAATTCAATTTCAAACAGGTGTTGAGCCACATTCTGGCTTACACCTGAGACTTTGTTTAACCTGCATAATAATTCAAATACCTGTTGGAAGCTGCATAATTAGAAACTCCACTTTGTTGTATCCCTGACACGGCTGACTCAGACACTTTTCACTCCCGCATAGCCTATTCTTATGGTGGCCCAGCAGGGGTTAAGAGGTGGGTGGGAGGTTAGAAAAAGGCTCCATTTCCTTTAAGTCCCTTCCCATGACATCAGCTCTTCTTCTTTCCTCTTTCTTTTGGCCAGTTCATATCATCCTCCTGTGCACCTGCAATGGACCCCACCCCTCTCTCACCTACCAAATGCCTCTCCTCACTCAGGACTGGCAGGCTGCTTGTTTGAAGCCTGACTTCTAGTTCCTGGGGAGGCTACTTGTTTCACTGTTCATTGTGATTTATGGGCCACATCCTTAGCTTGTGTAAACTGATGTAGCTCTGTTGACTTAAATGGAGCTATCCCATTTACACCAGCTGATGATCTGGCCCCATTTTAAAACTGTCATTTTGTCAACAAACATTACCTGCAGGCAGAAGAGAATACTTATGCTAACCTTCTCAGTCAACAGTACCGGCACAAAGCCCAGAGCAGTCAGAGTAAGGGTTTAGCCTGTGCAGTGTGCAATTTAGAAACAAAAACAAATTAATCATTTTGGAGAAGATAAGCAAACCTTTTCAGGGTAGATTTAATTACCAAAATGTCATTCTAGAAAATGGATACGTCCTCATTTAATTATGATTAGTGGGAAACTGACATTCCCTTACAACTTCTAATTACAGGTAAATGTATAAATGCTAGACTGTTTTTATCATAATTGTATGATCATATTACCAAGTTACTGAGAAAATATAAAAGAAGAGAGGCACTTGAGACATTGTTTGGTGAGGTTATGGAATTGATTAACAATATTTAGAATTTATATTTGCTGTAACAGCCATGTGAGGTCATCATTTACTGCACTGTCTATTACTGAGTTTGAACCAAATACCATTTCCATTTACTCAATATTCATTAGAGTCAGATTTTATTCAGCCCTAGTTTATGCAAACACCTTAGTAAGGGGCTCAGTAAAAACTAAGTAAGGGTCTCAGGATCTGGTGCTCTACATACAATACAGGGTACAAATACCTCATCTACAATGGTTCATGCAGCTGCTATTAAATGCCAGTTGTTTGCTTCTAGTTTGTTTTTTTAAGAGGCAACTCTTATCTTTCAATTTTTTAAAATGCTGTGTGTTAATTTGGTGCTCCTGAAGTCTAGTAGCACTGGCCAGAGTCAAGGACAGTGCAGATAGTCACTGTATACGTTCTGCCAAAGCACCTTCATTGTGACCTCCACTTAACACACCATATGCTTCAAATCCAGTGCTCTTCTCAGCAGACTGCCAACTGTACCAAACTGTGTGACAGTTTGGTGATACAGACTAATATAATCGTAAGCACAAGTGCTTTACTAGTAGCAACTCAAAGTGAGAACTCTAGCCAGCTGTACTTCTGGTGGAGTGAGACCTACAGTATTAACTCTTCAAGTGCCTTCTGGCGCACAACCAACAAAAAAGCAAAGTAATGACCTACTGATCCCCTGCCAGGTAGGACTCATTGCTATTGGAGTGCGGCTCCTTAATTTTACATTTCATTTTTTTTACAAGCCTTTTAAACATTTTTTGTCGTAATGTATACAATGTATCCTTCCTCTAGGAAAAAACGATTTCTGGATGAAGAGTAAGCAAAAAAGGAAGGGAAAACATGATTCAAACCTTTCCCCATCTACTGTCTATTGCAGGAGTGGGCAAACTTTTTGGCCTGAGGGCCACATCTGGTTATAGAAATTGTATGGTGGGCCATGAATGCTCACAAAATTGGGGGCTGGGATGTGGGGAAAGGGGGAGGGCTCCAGCTGAGGAGGCGGGCTCTGGGGTGTGGCTGGGGATGAGGGATTTGGGGTGCAGGAGGGTGTTCCAGGGTGGGACTGAGGGGTTTGGAGGGTGAGAGGGGGATCAGGGCTGGGGTGCAGGGGGGGTTGAGGGCTCTGGGGTGGGGCTAGGGATGCAGGGTTTGGGGTGCAGGAGGGTGCTCTGGGCTGGGGTAGGGGGCTGGGGTGCAGGAGGGGTTGAGGGCTCTGGCTGGGGATGCAGGCTCTAAGTTGGGGCTGGGGATGAGGGGTTCAGGGTGCAGGAGGGTGTTCCGTGCTGGGACTGAGTGGTTTGGAGGGCAGGAGGAGGATCAGAGATGGGGCAGGGGATTGGGGTACAGGAGGGGCTTAAGGGTGCAGCTCCGGGTGGTGCTTACCTCAAGTAGCTCCTGGAAGTAACGGCATGTCCCCCCTCTGGCTCTTATGCGGAGGTGTGGTGCTGGCCAGGCAGCTCTGTGCGTTGCTCCATCTGCAGGCGCCGCCCCTGCAGCTCCCATTGGCCGTGGTTCCTGGCCAATGGGAGGTGTGGGGGCAGCGCTTGGGACGGGGGCAGCATGCAGAGCCCCCTGGCTGCTCCTACATGTAGGAGCTGGAGGGGAGACATGCCGCTGCTTCCATGAGCCGCGCAGAAAGCCCCGACCCTCCTACCTGGCTGGAGTGCTGGAGTGGGGCAAACCCCCAACCCCGCTCCCTGGCAGGAGCTC